CACACACACACACACACACACACACACACATAAATAAATAAAATTAAAAAAAAATAATAAAAAATAAAGTTAGTTCAGACATAAGCCAGGTTTGGTGGCACACACTTGTAATCCCAGCCCTCAGGAGGCAGGAAAATCACTGCAAGTTGGAGATCAGTCTGGTTACAAAAGTGAGCTCAAGGCCAGCCTGAGCTGCATAGTGAGACCCTGTCTTAAAAAAAAGAAAAAAATAAGTAAGTAAATAAAACAAACAAACCTCTCCCAATAGTAAATAAGTAAATAAAACAAACAAACCTCTCCCAATAGTAAAACCATTCTCCTAAAACCACAATAATATCATGACTAAACATTTAACAAAATCCCTACAATAATATTTCATAGCCAAAACATATTCAAATATCCTAGTCTTAAGAAAGTTTTTTATAAAACCTTTTATCCATTTTATAAAAATTCAATTTCCATCAGTACTTATAACTTGATAAAAGTAGTATTTAATCAAATACATGTAATTATTCCACTGTGAAATATTAAAATGGTTCAACTCTTCAAAGACTTGCCTTACAGGTTTACTTTTCCTGACCACCAGGTAATTCAAAAGTTTTTCCTCTTGGCAAAAAGTCAAATTCATTCAGTCACCACTACCATCACCACCAGCAACAGACACTCCCTTTCCTTCTGTCTCTAGGCTAGAATACAGACTGAAAAGCTGAAATTTTACTTCCCATTTGAAAATTTCTTGTGCACTGAATTGTAGCTTCCATGGATTTTCTTTTGTAATATACTCAATCTAATAACCTGAATATAGGTATATGAAATAAATGCTATTTGTTTTTATAACATCTGACCATGGCACTCTAGTGATAAGAGACACTCCCACATTAAGTCAATGCTTTCCCATAGAGAGAATTATCTCCAATGGACATAACTAGATACAGATTTAAGGGGGCCTGGGAGATGGCTCAGTAGACTAAGCGCTTCCCCGGCAAGCACAAGGGCCTGAGTTTAATCCCCAGTTCCGCAAAAACAAACAAAAAAACCTTAGATACAGATTTAAGCAATGAATTTCAAATTGTGCACAGCTCTTATCACAGTTTATGAATACATATTGTATAATTATCTAATTCTTGCCTGTTCTTCCAACTACATTAATAGCTTTATAATGACAGGGAGCATGTCTGTCTTTCCTTCCAGTTGTATTCTCAGTACCTAGCTCAGTGCCTGGCATATAGCAAGTTCAATAAATATTTGTGGAATGAATGAATTCTTTTTCTTAGCTTTTTTGGAACACACGAGAGCATATGCATTTTTTAAACTTACCACAAAATGGGAATTGACTAATATTTATTACCTCATACTAATAAATAACAAGTTAACTGCCAGAAGTCACTTTCAACTTCTTTTCTCTTTATATATTCTCAAATGCATATTTTTAACAAGACTTACATTTGTGAAGTAACCTGAGAGTTGGATAAAAAGGCCCTTCTCTTTGTCTAAAAAATAGTAATTCTCCATTTACTGTAAGGATTTCTATATGTTCGTGGCTGTAAAACAAATTTCACAAAGTACCAAGTTAGAAATCTTCTTTCAAAAATAAATGTAAGTGAAACATTCCTTAAAATTTACAACATGAAACATGCATATATAGGGATAATTTTTTTTTTAATTTCTGTAAAGACACTGGCCATAAACACTGTTAAGGCTGTTTTTCCTATCATATCAATCAAGTGAAGAAACTGGAAAAATATGACCTGTTATAACCAATTTTATTCCACCTCTTTTCATTTCAACTCCATTATTAGGTATTTCCATGTATTTAAAGAACTGAAATACCATTTTAAATGAAAACATTTAACTCCAGCAGAAAGAAAAACATTTAACTAATAATCAATACACAAAGCCATATTTTTCACGGATATAAATATTTGAAAGTACAAATATTGGTAAGTTTTACAACTATTCTGTATATATCCTTATGAATCTATCAATAATTAATGTGAAAATAACTATATTTGGAATGAGAACAACCTAACCATTTACTATTCAGCTACTCTAAGCTTTACATAGAGAAAAACAAAGACTTACCATCGGACAATTTTGACAGGATCTTTCTTAGGCATGATTTGATTAAGCCATGGTTCAATACCTGGAAATTGCTCTATCAACTGATTCTTTTTATTTTTTTTTGTGGAACCGGGGACTGAACTCAGATCCTTGCGTTTGCCAGTCAAGTGCTTATCCTACTGAGCCATCTCCCCAGCCCATCAACTGATTCTTAATACCCTTAATAACTGAGGTTTTCAACTGGATGCAGTTGGACACATTTTCTTTTTCATCAAATCTGCCAAGTGATTTTTGCAAGAAAAAAAAAAAGGTATTGCTAAACAGAAGTATCAGAATATCTAAAGGATGTTTTAATCATCTCCTCCCAAGTACCTAGATGTTTAAAATAATTATGAAATAAATTTTTAAAGTACCATTTCCCTTTTATTCTCTTTTGTATAAAGCCAACATTTCAATACAATATTTAAATAAACTCCCAGAACCACAGAAACAAAGCAAAATAAAACCTGTTATTCCTAAAAGCTGGGGGAGGAGGGATGTGATATAGCTCACACTATTATCTGAATCAACCATAAAATGCCTTTCCTGGAGACTCTTACTCAGGAAAAAACATAGACTTCCACCAATCATATAACCTCTTTTAAAATAAAGCTTTCAAGCATTAAAAGGACCAACCCAAGCACAACACAAAAATTTGGTGCCTGTTAAGACTATGTAATCTGTTGAGACTTTTAAAGTGTGATGATGGTGATGATGGTGATTTCTAAGGTCCTTATCTATTTTTGCTCAAAATTTCATGCACAAAACCCACCTTCCTTTGCCCATGTTCCCCCTTTGGTTTTTTGCTTCTACCAAATCTGGAAGGCAAACCACAATGTAGGATCTCGGGGAATTTTGTCTTCCTTACACTGAATAGCCTACGAGGTAATCACGTTATTTTCAAGACAAGGTTAACCTGGCAGCTAGGCAATAGGCTTGACAGGCCGCTTGCTTCCTGTCACCCAGACTCCTTCACTCCCATGACCCAGGAAGTCAAGCCTTCCCTTATTCAGTTCATAACTAATAAACATATGGCAGCGAGTGCCGGGCTCCCCTCTCAGCTCAAGAGGATATGCCCCTAAATCACAGTGCACGGATGTGATTGGTAGAACCCTAAGGGTGGAAAAAGAATTACGGGAGGGGGCAAAAGAAGAGGTAAAGAAAAGGAAAACGGCAGGGACCAAAATCCAACCGAGGATTACGGATGGAAAGCTTAAAGAAGTGTTGCAAGTTGCGAGTGACAGCATAGTACTATAGAAAACCTTAGGGAGCCAGGATGGCAGGGGCGGGGGAGAGAGAAAGAGGACCGTTGCTCTCGCCCTCTTCCCCACCCTCATCCCCACCGCCTTTGTGAGCAGCCGTGGAGGCCACACTTGTCCTTACTTCTTGAACATGATCCAAGGTGAAGGGGGCGACGATGGGGAAGGGCCCGGAAAGGGAAAGAAATTGAATTAGCAAAGGTCCGGCAGATCCCCTCACACGAGGAAGGCCGGCACTAGGAATCAGAGCGGTTGTCGTTCTCCGGAAGGAGAGCAGGCGAGCCGCGCTTTACGGCTCGGAGTGAAATCTGACTACTTCCGCTCCTCTGAATTCCACGTAGGCGTTTTTGCCGGTTTCTTTGAGGTAACTGATTCCTCCCCTTTGGGGCAGCCTGAAGGGCGGGACTTGAAAAGGAAAAAGTGATAGTGCAATTCTTTCTAGTTGCAGGAAGAGAAGAATGGAGGAGGCGGGAAATCAATCAAAGCAGCGTTTATGGCGTTACGTCAGTTACGGATTCCTCAAAGGGTCAAGATTATTCCGTGCTTAGTTGCTACTTGTTACGCTAAACAATTTTAGCGTGAGAATGTGTTTTTGTTTCCTGTCTGAGGCAACCGAATAGATTGCTGCTTACCGGCCAGCATGAACCCAAGCAAGCCTCAGCACTTCACTTCATGTTAATGTAGTGGTTGGCTTTTCAAGTTTAGCAAGTAAAAATACAAGGCACAAGTTAAAATCGAATTTCAGATAAACAGTTTAATGTTTGTAGTGTAAATATACCTTATCGATATTTTAGGCATACTTCACCAAAAATATATAGTCGCTATCTGAATTTAATTGAGTACCTCTTTTTTATCTGGTAACTATTACTGACTACAGTAAGCTTCCCCCAAGGAATTATTAAATAGAAATTACTAGCTGCAGTCCCCTGCCTCACCTAGTCACAAGTTGACAATTCACGGAAAAGATAAAGTGGCCTCTTGCCATTCCATGCTACGTGTACTCTGAAAGAATAACAGATGAAGCAACAAGTTTTGCTTTGTAAAGTTTCCACACTCACCTACATCCCCAGACCTGTTTGTTTGTTTGTTGACTTTTTGAGACTGTCTAGCAACGCAGCTCAGGCTAACTTTGAGCTCACTTTGTAGCCCAGGCTAGTCTCGAAATTGCAGTGATCCTCCTGTCTCAACCTCCTGAGTGCGGGGATTACAGATGTGTGCCACCATGCCCAGCATCCTCAGAACTTTTATTTATTTATTTATTTATTTATTTATTTATTTATTTATTGGAAATAGGGTCTTGCTCAATCACTACATTGTGCAAACTTTACATATCTTCGCTTCAGCCTCCCAGTGTGCTGAGATCACAGGTGTATACCACCAGACCTGAAATAGTTATGTAATTTTTTTAATTAATTAATTTATTTGTGTGTGTGTGTGTGTGTGTGTGTGTGGCCAGCTCAGCCCACCAGGGGGCGGAGCTGGCTGGCATTTGGTGCTGGGGGATTGAACTGCGGTCCCTATGCTTTGCTAAGCTTGTTCTAAGTAGGTGCTTTAGACCACTGAGCCATCTCACCAGCCCAGTTATGTAATTTTTAAGAGGGCTAGAGCAAGGCTATAATCCCAGCACTAGGAAAACTGAGGCAAGAGGATTGCCTCAAATTCAAGGCCAGTCTGAACTAAATAGTGAGACCCTGCCTTTAAAAAAAAAACCTTACAGGAGGCCTAATAGAAAACAAAATTATGTCAATCTATCCAGGAGTGGTGGTGTACATCTTCTGAGCTCAGCCTGAGCAATTTAGTGACTTAGCAAGATCCTGTCTCAAAAAAATTTAAAAGACTGAGGATATAGCTCAGTGGAAAGGCTCTGGAAAAAGGGGAAGAGGTTGATCAGTAAAGGGAGCAGAGACAAAATTTAAAGCCTGAACAGGCACTAAGGAAGTGAGATGGACATGCATTAGATAGTAAAACAAAACAGGGGAGATAGGTCATTAGAGCAATCTTAACAAACGGTACTATGCATTTAAACTGTTCAACTAACTCACCTTGTCTTGATTCTATGGTGTCAATAATCTTGGGGCAGGGAGCAGGGATCTAATTCAGGGAAGTGCTTATTACACTGAGCCATCTCCCTGGCCCTTGGGATCTAATTCAGAAGGACAAGTACCTTCCTGAAAACCATAAAATCCTGAATTTGATTCCCAGTGGACACAAAAATTTTTTTTTTCTTTTTGAGACAGGGTCTTGCCTGTAGTTTAGTTTAGTCTGGCCTTAGTCTCAGTGTGTATCCCAGGCTGGCCTCAAACTCATGGTGATCCTCTTGCCTCAGCCTCCTGAGCGCTGGGATTACAGGTGTGCACCACCATGTGTGACCTATAATCTTCAGATTATGATTTTACTTCCCACAAAAATTTTCCCTCAGAGAAAGAATTTGCTGTTTTCACATGAAGTCAGTGTGAACAATTATGTTTGTCTTTGTAAATTAACAAACTGGTGACAGGTGTGGTGGTGCTTGCCTGTAAACCCAGCACTCAAAAGACTGAGACAAGAGGATCACCATGAGTTTGAGGCCAGTTTGGGCTATATAGTGAATTCAAAGCCAGCCTGGACTACACAGCCAGATCTTGTCAAATAAATAAATAAATAAACAAACAAACTGGCATTCTAGATGATATTATTGGTCTCATGTGGACATCCTCTGCATGAATCCACATGCCCAGCATCAGTCCCTTCTGGGACATTCAGAATATTGAGTTTATGAACATGCAAAACTAAAACTCAAAAGAAAAAAATCTGGAGCACAGACCCCAAGCTGCCATGCTTCTTGCCAAACATCCTTCCTCTCCTGGCAACTCTCATCTCTCTGGGAGCCTGCCTTTTATCAACAAATACATTATAACATCAATAAACAGCCAGGAATACAGCTCAGCGGCACAGTGTCTGCTTCGCCAGCATAAAGTCCTAAGTTTGACCCCAGGTACTGAAAAAGACAAATAATGAACAGCTATGATTAAGTAGTTTGAGTTTAGTGAAAGTAGATGGCCAAATAGCTCAGTGGATTAAAGCACACCTTCAAGCAGGTGCAGGAGCCAGGGTTTCAATCCCTGGACCTGCGGTGAAGGCCCCGCCCCCGGGTGGGCTGAGACAGCAATTGAGACTGGGCGTGGTGGCACCCCGCCTATAATCCTAGCACTTGGGAGGCCGTAAACAGGTGAATCACTACAAGTCTGATCTAGTAGTGAGACCCTGTGCACCCTGTAGACCCTTCCCTAAAAAAAAAAAGAAAATAATTTGCATTAAATCTTATATAGACACTCCTCAACCTGCAATGGGGTTATAAATCTGATAAAACCTCCATTAATTGAAAATATTAAATTGTAAGTGCATTTAATACACTTAGAAAACTTCCTAGCTTAACAACAGAGAACATAGTAGAATATCAGTTGTGTCTCTTTATGATCACGTGACTGATGAAGCTACAGATCACTGCTGCCTCTGTAGAATAAGTGATAAAACACCATATCACATATTACTAGCCTGGAGAAAAAAATCTAAAGTTACAATACTATTGAATGTTATTGTATTCACATTGTCAAAAAATTCTAAAGTTGAACTGTCATAATTTTTGAACTGTCTGTCTATGGTAATAGCATGCATAGTAAGTACAGAGTTCACCAGTAAATAAAACTTAACTTTATGGAAATTAATAACATCTGGATAGACTTTATTTTATTTTATTTTTGGAGATAGGGTCTCATTATATAATTCTGACTAGCCTTGAAATTGACTATGTAGGGGGCCAGGGAGATGGCTCCGTAGAATAAGTGCTTCCCTGGCAAGCGCAAGGGTCTGAGTTCAATCCCCGGTTCCCTCCCCCCCAAAAAAAAAGAAATTGATTATGTTGTCTAGACTGGCCTTGAACTCACACTGATCCTCCTGCCTCAGCCTCCTGAGTGCTGAGATTATAGGTGTGTGCCACCATGCCCAGCTGAATGGACTTCCTAAATTCTTTTTTTTCCATTTATGTATTTGGTACAGGGTCTCACTACGCAGCTCAGACTCAGAATGATCCTCCTGTTTTCAGCCTCCCCAGCGCTGGGATTACAGGCATGAGCCACCACACCCAGACTCCATCGCCAGCTCAGCATGCCCCTGGGGTAGGGCCAGGGCAGCTTGTAGGACTGGGCATCGAAACCTGGTCCCTGCACTTACCAAAGCAGGCACTTAGTCTGCTGAGCTATCTCACTGGCCCTCTTCCTAAATTATTGAAATTTTAATTTGACAAGCCTACTAATCTTAGATTTACTCAAAAGTATTATGCTAAAATGTGTAGTGCTCAAAGCAAAGCCTTTTGGTTCATAAAAAGTATACATATCTAGGTGTTTTTTGTTTTGTTTTGTTTTGTACAGAACTGGGGATTGAACTCAGGCCCCTGTGCTTGCCAGGCAAGTGCTTATTCTACTGAGCTATCTCCCCGGCCCTGAATGTTTTTTGGGTTTGTTTGTTTGTTTTTTTTGCATTAGGGGTGTAGTTCACTGATATTTGCCTAGCATGTGCCAAACCCTGGGTTGAGTTTACTAAAATTAAAAAATATATATACATACTATTTCATATGAATATTAGATGAATGTAAGGATTGAGCAAAAATAGAGACATTTGCTCATGAAAAAAATATACATACTCTATATTCATACACTCTGATGACTGAAACCAAACCTTAATTATGACAAATGCCAAGATACATCATCAGTATTTTTTTGTCTTGTCAAGACAGAGTCTCACTATGCAATTCAGAATGACTTTGAGCACACTGGCAATGGTTCTTCTGTCTCAGCCTTCCAAGTGCTGGGATTATAGGTGTGTGACACCATGCCCAACTCAGATGGTCAGTGTTAATGGTATGCTTATAAGTGCTGGCCAAATAGCTCAGTGGATTAAAGCACCTGCTTAGACAGACACAGAAATTAAATCCCCAGGCCTGCTGTGCTGGTTCTGCCCCCATCCCCAGGGCACACCAAGCTGGCCATTGAGACTCTGAGTGGTGGCGTACCTGTAATCCCAGCACTTAGGAGGCTGAATACAGGAGAATCACTGAGTCCAATCTACACAGTGAGACCTTGTAGACTCTGTAGACCCTATCCTAAAATTTAAAAAAAAGATATACTTAGATCTGTATGAGTACATAAGTACTTTCATTGATAGTCTTCACAGATACCTAAACAGGACCTACTTTCACTTCAATGAATTTGTTGATATTGTGTATGGTTTGGTTTTGGGTTATGTTGTTTTTTGGAGGGGTTTGTGGGGGGTGGTTGTTGTTTTGTTCATCTTTTTTATTTTTATTTTTTATTTTTTGGCAGAACTGGGGATTGAACTCAGGCCCTTGCCCTTGCCAGGCAAGCACTTATTCTACTGAGCCATCTTCCTGG